GTATTTCTTTGTAATGATTTGTTGGGTCTCTGGACCGTAATAAAGATTAATAAAGATTGATGATGACCTGAACCCCCACTCTAGATCACTGCCAGTTTTTTTAATTCTCTGAGTAGATCACAGTCTCTTGGGAGTTGGACATCCCTGTCCTAGGGGATCTTCTGTGAACATGATCAAGCCAGTGTAGACATCGTTTATTTATTTTATTTATTTATTGAATTTATATACCGCCCTATACCCAGAGGTCTCGTTGAGACAGGAGTGTGAACATGCTGGGAATGTGGGCTTGGGAGAGAACATCTTTGTTTGAGACTCTCTCCTGCCATGGGATGCCCCAAACCTTCCTGATGCAGCACATGTGGAAAGTGTTGAGGCATCGCTCCTGGTGGTTGTAATGCCCATGACTGATTTCCATAAAGTAGCATGGAAGAACACGATCATCTTGTGAAGCTTAGGTGGGCACTGGATCATTTTGAGTGGTGTGAAGAGTCCTTTTCAGCTGATGAGATCAAAGGCCTTCATGAGGTCTATGAAGGTGATGTACAATGGGGGTCTCTGCTGTTGACATTTCTCCTGCAGCTGGTGCAGTGAGAAAACCATGTTAACCTCTGAACTCTAAAGCCGCATTGTGACTCAGGATAGACCCTCTCAACAAGTGACTGTAATCTGTGGAGAACTTCAAGGGCAAAGGCTTTCTTCAGGTACTCAGCAGGGAGATTCCATGGTAGTTGTTTCAGTCATGGCAGTCTCCTTTGTCCTTGTAGATGATCACACTGCTCTAGTCATGCATGTCTTGCGGCACAGCACCTTGTTCCCAACACTGCAAAAGGAGGCCATGGAGGTGTGTCTTGAGGGAGGAACTGAAGCCAGCATTCAGAACTTCTGTTGGGGCTTTACCACATGGCTGAGAGTTGATGGTGTTCTTCAGCTTGTTAAGGGAGGGAGGGACATCCAGCTCTTCCAAGAGAAGCAGAGTCTTGAAGCTGTTGATTCCTGTGTCAGAGCATGTTTCTCCACAAGTACTTGATATTACTCTTCCTGTATAGCTACACCTGCTTGCTGCAGTCTATGATGATTCTCCCAACAAGGTTTTCAGCGGGGCAGTTTTTCTGACACCTAGTCCAAAAGCTTTCTTCATGCCTTCGTACATTTTGCAAGTGTTGCAAGTGTCAGCAGCAAGCTCTGACACAGCTTTAGCCAGTAGTCATTGACCCATCATCTGGCAACCACTGGGCTCCTTGCCTTTCTCAGTGCAGCAAGCATCTTTTCATATGGCACACACTTGAAGTTCACAAGAGCCTCATGCCTTTCAGCAATAACAGACTCCATGTCCTTTACGCTGGCCTGAAACCAATCAGGGATCTGTTGCTTATTTTTGCCAAAGGAAGACATAGCTGAGTTGTAGGTTGCCTCTTTGATGCAGTTCCACCTTGCTTTGACACTATCCCCAAGGCAGTCCAGTAGAACCTGCTCAACAGAATGAGAGAAGCACTCACAAAGTTCAGGTGTGACTATTCTGGCAGTGTTGATTCAAGGCTGCACTTTCTGCTTTGTGCATAAATGATGTTTTGGGTGTGGACTAGCTGCAACAGCTCTCTGTAATAATGCCTCCACCTCCTAGCAATCTGCTCTTCTGGGTTTATCACTTCAAAGGAGCACAATCCATCACAGGTAGTTCAAAGCTTCTGTGATAATCTGACAGTTCATTCTTCCCCATCACTAGAATCAATGTGTTGTAGGTCATCCTCCCCCCTGGAGCTGAAAAAAGCACCTGCCTGGTGAGATGTGGTGGTAGTTCACATCTTGCCTTTTGCCTGGACAGAATAACATAGTAAGAAAATAAGAAGAACCGTGCTGAGTCAAACTGAAGGCACAGCTAGTTCAACAGTCTCGCTTCACAGTGGCTACCTAGATGCCTATAGGGAAGCCCACAAGGAAGACATGAGCACAATAGCACTCTCTCAGTCACGTTCCACTCCTTCTCCTTTCCTTTTATTCTTTCTCCCACCTCTTCAGTGTATCACCCACCCTTCACCATCAGGTTTCTGCGCAGGTTACAACAACTTACAATTCAATATTAAAAACACTTCAAACAAATTGCAGGCACCGGAATATGCATACAGTGGTACCTCAGGTTAAGTACTTAATTCGTTCTGGAGATCCTTTCCTAACCTGAAACTGTTCTTAACCTGAAGCATCACTTTAGCTAATGGGGCCTCCCACTGCCACTGTGCTGCTGGAGCACAATTTCTGTTATCATCCTGAAGCAAAGTTTTTAACCCGAGGTACTTTTTCTGGGTTAGCAGAGTCTGTAACCTGAAGCATCTGTAACCTGAAGCATATGTAACCCGAGGTACCACTGTACTACCTCTGAAACTTGATGCAATACGTTTGAAGCCATCACGTAGTCCTCAAAAGTCCCATCCTCTTTTAAAGCTTTCCAAGTTGGTGGTCATCATCATATCTTGTGGGTTAAACTTTCATAGTTTAACTATGAGCTGTGTGAAGAAGTATTTTCTTTTGTCTGTCTTGAATCGTCCAGCACTCAGCTTCATGGAACGTACCTGACTTCTAGTGTTATGAGAGGAAGAAAAACAATGCTCTGCCCATTTCCCACATACCAGATATATTCTGTCATGTCCCCCTTACTCACCTTTCTTTTAAACTAAAAGCACCACAGGTTATAACCTTTCCCCCAGCTAATTGACCATTTTTGATTGCCCTTTTCTGCATCTAGTGCAAAGTTAGAATGTGTCAGGGACTGGCTGGATGAGGAAGAGTGGTGGGCGTCATCCATCCAGGAACCCCTCCAGGGATGGCTTGGAGGAAGAAGCGTTAGACCCAGGAGAGGAGTGGTGGGATACTGGAGACCAGTTGCAGAAGGGAACAAGCTGGGAGGTGGTAGAAGCAGGAAGTGTGAGAGTCAGAGAGTCAGAAGAAGAAAGCTGTTCAAGGACAGGGTATGTGTGCTGAGGGTCTCATTGTGAGCACAGACTCTGAAAGAGAGGAGAGGACAGGGAGGAATCAGACAGTTTCAGTTTCACAACAGCAAGCCAGTCACTCCAGAGTGAGCTCTCCTCCTCCTCTTACACTGAGAACACGAAGAGAATTGCACATTGCTGAGCAATGGACCAGACAGGCCCAGAAGGGGGTTCTTCCTTCTCGCCATAGCTTACATCTGCTTGGGAGAAGAGGGCTAGAGACACCAGTCCCAGCAATGTCTTCACCTAGGGCAGTTTAGTCTAGATGAACTCTCTTGTGTTCTGCCTTTTCTGTATAAAAAAAGCTGGTTGCACTTTGAGTCTCAAATCTTCCCTTTGACCTGTGGATGAACCTGCCTTTCTGACAGCCCTGACAGAATGAATCACAGCAGAGGCTAGAACTGCCTCAGAGATCACCAGTTTACTGGGGATCACTGGTCTAGAGCCTAATTGTTTGCAGATGTATCAATATAGAAATATTCAACAGTTGCTGTACAACACTGAGAACAGAGTTGGACTGGATGGGGCCTTTGGCAGCATGTTCTTATGTTCTTAGTGAAACTCAAATGCCATGACGTGTTGTTACTTGAATTAACATTTTCAAAAGTGATACATAGACAGGCTTACTTAAAAATAAAATTGTGGAAGGCTGCAGTTCAAAAGACACCACAATGCATCATCTTAAAAGGGCCCATAAGGCAACACAATATTTTCCTCAAAAGAGGTAGCTATTTATTTTGCTGTAGAGCATCACAAGTAATTAAAAGGAACCCTAACGTAATCCTTTAGCATTGCATATTAATTCCAAAGAGGGGCGAATTAATCTTCTCTGATTGCATGGTAATTCACAGCTCACCGTGGTAATACCAGAAGACTATAAATAAATCTTATACAATAATGTAGGGTCTGCTCACGCCCAGCTCCTTTAGATAGCAAATAAATAAAACTCTAAAGGGTGGAATACCGTGCATGCTTGTCTAGGAGTAAGAACTATTACACTCTGTGGGGTTTACCTCTGTGTAGACATTTGTAGGACTGCACTGTAAATGGACTGCACAGTCTTGTGGTGGTGATCCTGCCAGAATCATAGTGGAAGTGAAAATATTTATCTGTAATGGTTCTCATAAACAAGCATCCTTGGAACTATAACCCCTTGGAGATACATTTTAGAGTAAAGGCTTAGACCATCTGGCCATCATGACAGATAAGTTCTATATTAAAGTCAACGGGACTCACAGCTACTGGTGATTTAGAGGCATGGTGCTTCCCTTCCTGGAGGCAGCTTAGAAACCTTTCATTGTTACAGGAGTTTCCTCAACTCCATGATCCTTTTAGTTCTCCTTTCCAACTACACAATATCCTTTACAACATGAGGTGACCAGAACTGTACATAGAATTTCAAGGGTGGTGTTTGTTTGTTTTTACCATTGATTTGCATAAAGGCAATACAATAGGCATCACCTACCCTTACCCTCAAAATCCCTCCCCTAATGATTCCTAATTTGGAGTTCACTTCTTCCACTGAGCTATTTACTGTAATCTCAAGGCCTCTTTCCTGGTTAGTCATCACCAACTCAGACCCCATTAGTGAATTTAGGGTTTCTCCGACCCTGAATATATACATATATATATAGAGAGAGAGAGAGAGAGAGAGAGATATTCTACTTCAAACATCCCTTCATTATTAAAATTGTACATTTATTATTATTTTCTATTTACTCTCCTTCAGACAATTACTGATCCATAAAAACCAAATGCAAGATGGTGATTCAGGGTGTGGAACAAATTGCCTCATGGACCCCGTAGATTACCTGCATAGACAATTATAACTTTATATCCGGGTTACTGCATATCAGGGATTACCTACCTTCCTTCCTTTGCTGTCCAACAATCAGGAGTCAGAAAAATCTAGTAGTGTTACCAGCAACCTTTCTCTTTTTAAAAAAATGAAATCCTTTAATATTTTATCTGATTATTATTATTACCTGAAGATGAACTTCCAGATTGTGTTGAGTTATCATAGAATCATAGAATCATAGAGTTGGAAGAGACCACAAGGGCCATCGAGTCCAACCCCCTGCCAAGCAGGAAACACCATCAGAGCACTCCTGACATATGGTTGTCAAGCCTCTGCTTAAAGACCTCCAAAGAAGGAGACTCCACCACACTCCTTGGCAGCAAATTCCACTGGCGAACAGCTCTTACTGTCAGGAAGTTCTTCCTAATGTTTAGGTGGAGTCTTCTTCTTGTAGTTTGGATCCATTGCTCCGTGTCCGCTTCTCTGGAGCAGCAGAAAACAACCTTTCTCCCTCCTCTATGTGACATCCTTTGATATATTTGAACATGGCTATCATATCACCCCTTAACCTCCTCTTCTCCAGGCTAAACATGCCCAGCTCCCTTAGCCGTTCCTCATAAGGCATCGTTTCCAGGCCTTTGACCATTTTGGTTGCCCTCCTCTGGACACGTTCCAGTTTGTCAGTGTCCTTCTTGAACTGTGGTGCCCAGAACTGGACACAGTACTCCAGGTGAGGTCTGACCAGAGCAGAATACAGTGGCACTATTACTTCCCTTGATCTAGATGCTATACTCCTATTGATGCAGCCCAGAATTGCATTGGCTTTTTTAGCTGCCACGTCACACTGTTGGCTCATGTCAAGTTTGTGGTCAACCAAGAGTTATATCCAGTTATATCCAGTGATGTTGTCCTATTAGCACAAAGACCTCTGCCTGCACAATGGGACTCCCTCTACCCCCTATGTTGCCCAAAGCTTCTCTGGGTCTTCCCCAACCTCCCGGGGCATATTTGGAGAGCACACAGGAAGAGGAGACAGAGAGGAAGTCCTGTTGTGCAGGCAGCAGTCCTTGACTAATGGGACAAATTTGATGGATACAATTCTCAGACTTTTGTTTTTCTGTGAAATCCAATTACAGCCTGAGGATATGTGGGCACCATATATTGCTTATTGTATCGAAACTCTTTTCATTTCCTTGCATTAGGACACCTTGCCCCGATCCACGGTTTCCATAGCAGCTTTTGCTCCATAAATAAATTTCTGTCGTTGAGAATAGGCTTGTGATACATGGTCTCTTCTGCTGATCTTAAAAAGGCCTGTGCATCTTTGAGGCAAAACACGTTACCTAAGCAGGATTTGATGTAAGCTTTTTAAGACTGAAGTTTCCACAGCAGGTTGAAGAGTGATGTAGCTCTAAGGACATTCTATGCATCTCTACCGGCAGGGTGATGCAGTGGTACCTCTGGGTTTCCAGAGTTATTTTGGGTTGCCCTTGTGGACCCTGCTTAGGAGAAGCAGGATCTTCTGTATAGGCCATTGGCCTTCAGTTGTGGGTCAGGACAAGTGGGTCACACTGCATCCTAAGGTGGGTCTCACCAGTAGCATTATCATGCTGCTGGTGGTGGCAGTGATGGTGGCGGTGGTGGTGGCAATGGTGATGAATCTTTTTAGCAAAAGGAAAGGGGATAGGAAAAGATAGTGGAGGAAAGTTAAGGAGAAAGGCGGATCCCATCTTTGAGTTTGGAGGAAAAGGTGGGTGCCATCTTAAATTCTGCTAGTTGAGATTATTTGTATTTCATTTGCATTCTGCCTTTCCTCCAGTGAACTTAAGGCAGTATACAGTACATGGCAGCATAAGTCAAGCCCACAGACAATGATAGGGAACATGCAACCACCACTATCCATGCACATTGGCCATCAAATGGAGCTGATAGAAGCTGAAGTCCAGAAGAACGTGGGAGGAGCTCACGGTGTAAGGGCTCCTTCGTTTACCCAGAGCTTGGTATCAGGAGCCCTTCAGCAATAAATACAAATAATAATTACTGTCTAATTAGACAAGCCTGGCTAAACAATTGGAAGGCTCGATATTGTCAAACAAAAGGCACCCAGTTAAGGAATTGAGGGGGGAAAGAGAGAGAGGCTAGCTTTGGTGTTGAATTTGGCTCATAAGAATTTCTCGAGAGAAGACACTGGGGAAATGAATGAACGAAGAACTTCTCTTTTGAAAAAGAAAGAGGTGCCTGATAAAGTTAGTTGTGTGGAGTAGTGTGTATGCATGTGAGGGATGTGGGAACAGATGTTGGAAAGAAGGCAGATGTACTGGTTGTCTCTTTCCTGTCCTTCTGAAAAAAAGAATATCCCCCCATCTTCTGCTTAAAAATAAAAACCAACCATATGTCACAGTAGGAAGCGAGAGGAAACAGCTGTTAATCCCTGCAGATTTGCCTCTCGCAGCATTGCCCAGAGTGAGGGGAGGTTGTATTCTGGTGTAATGGAAGTCTTCTGTGCAGGAGATAGCTGGTTCATATTGAGAAATGAGAACTGTTAAAAGTAGAAGTTCTTGCCGCTTAAAAGTCAAATAATGGATGCTCCAAGTTGGGATTTAAGTACATTAACGGATTGACTTGGAAGAAACCCAGTGATTGTACAGTCTTATCACCTTGATGTATAACACATTTCATAACACAGGGGTGTAAAGCAAAATGCCCAGGGAACTCGTAGTACTTTCTAGGAGTCTCCAATGTGACTCATCCCTTCTGCAGCACACAAATTGTTGCTGCTGTTAAAATTTATATATCACCCTTCGTCCAAAGATCACAGGATTGTTTGCAGCATAAGCCGCATTTGGGGCTAGGGTACAGGTGCCTTGATCAGCCTGCTTCTTCTTTATGGGGGTGGTACTCAGGCGCATATGAAGTAGCCTTATATTGAGTCAAGCCAATGGTCCATCTAGTTTGGTATCACGGCTGTCAGCAGCTCTTCAGAGTTTTAGAGAGGACCCTTTCCCCACCCTACCTGAAGATGCCTGAGGTCTTCCACATGAAATGCATGTGCTCCACCACTGAACTGTGGTAGAGAAGAATGAATTGATGTGGAATTGATACTTTTCAGCAAGGGAGTAGGGAATGAACACAATCCTTTGATGTCTGCTTGGAGAATCTGGCTGACCAACCCAGTGCCGGATTTGCGTATAAGCTAAACAAGCTATAGCTTAGGGCCCCACTCTCTTGGGGGCCCCCAAAAAATTAAAGGGAAAAAAACTGTATTAATTGTATTTCAGTTAAACAATTACTTTGATAAAATACATATTTTGTTATGTGCAAATGGCTTTAGATACTTGTTAGGTCCATAAATTACCATATCTCATATAAAAAGGTAAAGGGACCCCTGACCATTAGGTCCAGTCGTGGCCCACTCTGGGGTTGTGGCGCTCATCTCGCTTTATTGGCCGAGGGAGCCGGCGTACAGCTTCCGGGTCATGTGGCCAGCATGACTAAGCCACTCTAGCAAACCAGAGCAGCGCACGGAAACGCCATTCACCTTCCCGCCGGAGCGGTATCTATTTATCTACTTGCACTTTGACCATATAGCATATATTCAACACAAAAAAACAGTGACAATTTGTTGTTGACAAAGGAGAGCTGGACATATAAAGGGCCCCATTGCTTTCAGTAGCTTAGGGCCTCATCAAATCTAAATCTGGCCCTGGACCAACCCCTTTCATTATACATTTGGTTACAGTGGTTAGAATGGTGGAATCTACTAGTTTTTGTAATTTTCTCATGGATGCAGTCTTCAGCTGTGTTGACACATTTCCACATCAGTTCTGCTAAGTCATAAAGCACTGGCATTAGCACATCTGTACCGACAACTTATATGTTTCTAGGCCCAATTCAGGGTGCTAGGTATGCATTTATTTATTTATTTATTTAAATGTTTATAGTCTGCACCTCATAAAAGTATATCAGCATGCAAGATACAATAGAAGCAGTAAACACATGCATAAAATAATAGAATCATAGAATCATAGAGTTGGAAGAGACCACAAGGGCCATCGAGTCCAACCCCCTGCCAAGCAGGAAACACCATCAGAGCACTCCTGACATATGGTTGTCAAGCCTCTGCTTAAAGACCTCCAAAGAAGGAGACTCCACCACACTCCTTGGCAGCAAATTCCACTGTCAAACAGCTCTTACTGTCAGGACGTTCTTCCTAATGTTTAGGTGGAATCTTCTTTCTTGTAGTTTAGATCCATTGCTCCGTGTCCGCTTCTCTGGAGCAGCAGAAAACAACCTTTCTCCCTCCTCTATGTGACATCCTTTTATATATTTGAACATGGCTATCATATCACCCCTTAACCTCCTCTTCTCCAGGCTAAACATGCCCAGCTCCCTTAGCCGTTCCTCATAAGGCATCGTTTCCAGGCCTTTGACCATCAATAAAACATCAGTACATACTGGTTGATTGAAAAGAGAAATTCAGATTGTGAAGGCCCGCCTAAACAATACAGTTTTCAGAAACTGTCGAAAAAAAGGCAGGGATGGTTTCTGCCAAAGCTCTGCTGCCAGGGAATCCAACAGGGCAGGACTCCAACTCCCATCATCCAGCATGACTGAGGATCAAGGATGATGGGCCTTGTAGTCCAGCATCATATGGAGGTCCACAGGTCCCCCAGTCCTCCTCTAGAGGGATACTGCTGGTGAACTGGTCTGGTGGTCTAAAAGAACCATAGATGCCAGATGATTGAACACTAGCATGTGGAAGGAGGTTGCTCTAGCAAAATTGGGATTCAGTTTTACTGTCTTGCTTTAAAAAACAAACTAACAAAAACAAACAAACCATGAGCAAGCTCATTTTGTTGTTAAGTGGTGAGAAAGCAATAAAAACTTTATAACCATTTTCAAATTGCATTTGAACCCAGCTGGAATTAACCCGAGACCCAGCCGGGAAGTTAAGGTGATGGTCCATTTTTTGCAAAAGCCTAATTAAAAGGCCTTTAGGGGTGTGTAAATGTGCGTTCTGTGTGAAGAGTATGCCATTCCCTCTGTGAATCTCATGAAAAGCCAAGGGTGCCTTGAATATTCCCATTAGAAGATCGTGTTGGGGGCTGCTATAGTGCTGCTGGAGAAAAGACATTTTATATGAATTAACCGTGAGCAATTTATAGGTGGCATCCGTGCATTAGTTCATTGGAGTGATGTCAGTCCTGGTCTGGAAGGAATAGTTTATGGCAAGCTACTCTGCAGAGCCAGCACAGAATATTGAAACTGTAATTTTTGTGGAGACGTTTCTTCTTCTTCTTCTTCTTCTTCTTCTTCTTCTTCTTCTTCTTCTTCTTCTTCTTCTTCTTCCCCTTGGCAAATGCAGCACTGAGCTGAGAAACGGACACTAAGAAACTCGGCCTCAGTTCTCCCTGCCTTGAGCATTGGGAAAGTGCAGTCTTTGCACATCCACCCACCCACTGCTTTTTAAACCGAAGACTTATGGTGCCTTACTGCAAATCTA